AAAAAAATTAATGAGAGGGAACTAGATTCGCTTACCAAGGAAATAAATAATGGAGAGCTTCTCAACACTTGGTGAAAGCATAGTTTTTTTACCCTAACCGGCTCGACGGGTCGACCCAGGACCTGGTCGACTCGGAGAATCGGTGGACCCGGTCAGACCCGGACAAGCCGGCCTTAACCCGGCCGACCCGGAGCATTGACCCGACCCATATTTTTTTTTATTTTATTTTTTTTTTGTTTTTAAAAGTAAAACTATGTATGTATGTTTATATGGTAAATATTTATCACCAGATTCATATTATTAACATCTTAATGTACAAATTTTATAGACAAAATATTTAATTTTACTTTTATGTATATTAATATGATAAAAATACTCTATATATAATGTTTAAAACATAACATGTAGTTATTGTGTTTGATAAAATTACAATGAGAAGAACTTGGTAGAAATTTAAAACTTTAAATATGAAAAATGAAAAAAAAGGATAGTAGTATAATTTATGTTCATTGTGTATTTGAGTTCTTCTTGCAACAACCTTATTTATGTATTTTTCGGATTTTCCGCTCTTGTTTTTAGGTTTTCTCAATGGCAAGTGGTAGTAGTTCGGCATCAAAAAGAATTCCGTGTGATACCCGGACATCCAATGAGATCGAGACCGACTCTCTACTTAAAAGAAAGTCCGATGACATAGGTTGGAATTATGGTGTTCTAGCCGATCCACATAACAAAGATAGAGTTAAATGCTTGTTATGTGAGAAAGTCATGTCGGGCGGTATACGTCGATTGAAAGAGCACATTGGTCAAATTTCTGGAAATGTCGTTTCATGTAAGAAAGCAACAAAAGAAGATCAAGCGAAATGTAGAAATGCCATCAATGAGTCCAAAGCAAAGAAGGTGAAGACAAAAGAACTTCAAGAAGAGTTGCTTTCTTCGGTTAATATTAAAGGGTCGAATTCCTCTCAACAATGCCAAGAAGCTCACTCTCTTGGACCAATGGATAGATTTGCTACAACTATCAACCCAGAAGCATCATTGAATGTGGCAAAGACAATGCGGCAACAAAACATTAGTGATTCTATTTAGTTGATTGGGTTTATGAATCCGGCATTTCTTTCAATACACTTGATCTCAATAGCTTTCGGCTCTTCGCCGAAGCACTCGGTCAATTTGGGCCGAAGTGGAAGCCTCCTAGTCAATATGAGGTGAGAGAGCCATTGTTGAAAAAAGCGGTTGAGAGAACCAAACTCAAAGTGAAGCCTCATGAAGATGAATGGAAGAGGAGTGGTTGCTCGATTATGACGGATGCTTGGAGTGATAGAAAGAGAAGAAGTATCATGAATTTGTGTGTGAATTCTAAAGTCGGAACAATGTTTCTCCCTTCCAAGGAATCTTCTGATGTGTCACACACAAGTGAAATGATATTAGAGTATGTGGATAAATGCATTGAACAAGTTGGGCCCGAGAATGTTGTTCAAGTTGTGACGGACAATGCTTCAAACAATATGGGAGCGGCAAAATTGTTGCGCAAAAAGAGGCCAAGTATCTTTTGGACTTCATGTGCCGCCCGCACCATGAATCTCATCTTGGAGGGCATTGCAAAACTACCTCGGTTCAACAAAACAATTGAACAAGCAAAGACATTGACCATATTTTTATATGCGCATCATAAGACCTTAGCCATGATGAGGTCTTATACTAAAAGAAGGGACATAGTAAGACCCGGGGTCACGCGATTTGCCTCTTCTTTTCTTAGCTTGTAAAGTTTGATGGAAAAGAAAACACCATTAAAGGCGATGTTTTCTAGCTCTGAGTGGGATGAGTGCAAATGGTCCAAGACGGTCAAGGGGAAAGCGAGTTACAATATCGTGATGCCTATTGGTTTTTGGAATGGTGTGAGATCTTTTTTGACTATTTTTGCTCGTTTAGTGAAGGTTCTTCGTATAGCGGATGCCGATAGAAAACCGTCGATGGGTTTTTGGTATGGGGAGCTTATGCATGCCAAAGAGGATATAAAAATTGCCTCGAACAACCTTGCCAAGAACTATGAACCCATCTTAGAGATAATTGACACGAAGATGACAAGTAGATTGGACACTCCGTTGCACTTGATGGCATATCTACTAAATCCTTATTATCATTATAAGGACACGAATCTCATACTAGATCAAGTTGTTTCGGATGGAGTTCTTGATTGTCTTGATGTCATTTGCCATGGTGACTTTGATTTGAGGAATAAAATCATGAACATTGAGTTGCCAATTTATAAGACAAGGAGAGGAGTCTTCGGGAAGCCAATTGCCACAAAAGGTTGTGAAGTGAACGACGAAAAGTTTGATCCGGGTAAATAATAATATTTTTTTGTCTTGTCTCTTATGTGATAAATGATATGTATTAGAAAATTATTATTATTTTTTATGAGTAGTCTTAAACTTGTTCTTAGTTTAAATGAGTTCAAAATGATTTTGTTTTCATATTAATTTCTATCTTTTTTTTTTTTCATGCATAGCTACTTGGTGGTTAAATTATGAGTATGGAACGGCTAATTTGCAAAGGATTGCCATAAGAATCTTGTCATTAACCACAAGCTCGTCCGGGTGCGAAAGAAATTGGAGTACATTCGAAGGGGTTAGTTGGATTTATTATCTTTAGATTGTTTTGTTATTTTTTGCATATTATATAATATTTTTTTTATATGCTCTTTAGATACATACGAAAAAAAGGAATCGGCTAGATGTTTCGCGCTTGAACAATCTAGTTTATGTCCAATTCAATTTGCGTTTATTGAACAAACGCAAATGGGGGAGCGAAAAAGATGTGTTACTTGCTAGTGAGACAAGTAAAGCACAAGAGTGGATTATTCCGGGATTAGTAGAGGATGAAGATGAGGGGGTTGATGGACTTGAAGTTGAGGATGACACATCAATAGTGAGAGAGCTTGAGGAAGAGGATTTTGAATCCGAGGAGGAGGAACAAGTCAATGAGAATGATACTGACTTTGAGTCGGATGAAGAACGTGTATTGGAGAATTATGGGGAAGAAGAAGAAGATCCTTTTGGCAATATTTCTTAGTTCTTAGAAGTGTTTTGGATTTTGGTCATGTGGGTTATTTTGAAATTTGGATTTTGTTTTGAGTTTGTTTTGGACTTGGAGTTTATTTTGAGATTGTGGTTAGTTGTTTAGTAGTTTTAATGTAGTTATTTTATTTGGACTTGGAGTTGATTTTGAGTTTGTTTTGGACTTGGATTTTGCTTTAAGATTGTGTTTATGTACTTAGTAGTAGTGATGTATTTATTTTGACTTGGACTTTGTTATAAAATTGCAATAAGTACAATATTGTGGTCATGTGAGTTGTTAATTGCTATTATATTTTCATTATAATATTATATTAATAATATTGTTGGGGCTTGGGTGTAAAGATTTATTAATTACAAGTTGTAATTTCATTAGTGAAATTGTGAAAATAAATAAAAATAATATATTTATTATAATTTCCAGGCCCCGCCTAGGCCCCGTCTAGGCCCCGACTAGGCGCTGTAGGCGCTAGGCGCTGGTCGAGCGCCTAGCGGGCGCCTAGCGACTTCTAAAACATTGGCTATAATGAGAATTAATGGTGAGGTGTTGTGGGACAAGAGCTTACATATTCCACCATTGCCTCCAAAATTTGGTAGAGGTGTGGGAAAACCTGGTATGTCAAGAAGACTTGAATCTGATAAGAGGCCTTATAAGAAGAAAAACAAGATACAAGGAAATATGGTGTGCACAGACTTAAAAGGCACCAAAAAACAGTTAAGTGCAGGAATGTGGTGTTTTGGGACATAATATAAAAACATGTCATAAGAGGGCCTCCAATAAAGAAGCTGAGATGGGATCACATTATGTTCAACCACCTCAGGATGATAGCTTAGTAATTTCAATGAAGTCTTGGGTACTATTCTAAGCTTTGTGATTTCAAATTGCACTTGATTTTTAATTAATTTTGTCCTAATATTTTCAACCTCGTGCAGGATGATGGTGGAGGCTCTATGCACATCACAAAGAAACAGAAAAATCATCCTCCATTGCTGCCCCCAGTTTTTTAAGAACATCAAGAACCTGAAGAGATTGATGTCCCCATTCTAACCCAAATGTCTCAGTCTAAATCAACAACAACAACAAACATTGAAGGACCCTAATTGTGGGATTAACTTCAAATGGGAAGAACAAGAGGACCACCAGTTGATGACTCTCTCCAGAAGAAGTTTAATCATTTATCAGAAATTTAAGAAGTTTGAACAATTGGTGAATTGATTTGTGTACTGTGCCTCTGTTTTGTGTAATACTTATGGTACATGGTCTTATTTTGTAATTTCTGATGCGCATGAACTCTTAGAAATTCTGTTTTGGAAGCTATGTTTTGGAAAATATTGATTTGATAATTATCAGAGATTGTGTACTCTTGTGAATGGTACGGAAAATTCTTTTTTGGAAGCTATGTATTGGTGGAAGTTTGTTGGTATAGGTTCCTAATTTCAAATGATCAACTGTTGTGGAGGAAGATAACAGTAGACAATACATGTATGCTATGTGGGGGTAGAAGCAGAAGATCTAAATCATATTTTGTTCTCCTGTGATAGAGCTAAGAATGTGTGGAAGATGAGTGGAGTAGCTTGGGCCATGCTGGAAACTGCAATTCCTAATTGCAGATGTTGGTGGAGTGAAATCTGCAGTGCTGGGGATACCACTAGCCTCAAAGACAGAATTAGTTTATCTTGTTATATTCTTTGATGGCTGTGGAAACCTAAAATTGGTGGGTTTTCCAAAAAGTTAGAATGAGTGAATGGCAGGTAGCAGAGGGTGCTAGAGTAGAATGGCTAGAATTTGCAAATATTCAAGGTCAGAAAAAGAGCAGAACCAAGGAGCATGAGTTACATTTCAGTGATTCTATAGGGAAAATTTTCCAGAAGGTAGGATAGTGGAGCTTAACTGTCAGTGCCTTGAGCTCTTCAAGCAATCACCTGAACATATCTTTTGTGGCTGAGAAGGAGGGAGAAGACAACAGCACTCTGGAGACAACCGTGAGGTACGAGGAATGCGAGGATGGAGCACTTCTTGAAGCCACTAGATGGACCATTCTGCAAGCTATACAGAAAGGGTGGCAAGAGTGTACTATCAAATTACATAGCAACCTCTGGTGTTCAAACTACAAAAGAGATTAATGCACTTTGATGTCTGTTGCAGTATAATTGTCGAAGATGTATTATCTCTTTCGGACTCCGTTTCTTGTGTATCTTTTGCTCATTTTGACTAGGATGTGGACAGAATTTTCGGCTGCTAAAGAAGTAGGATTATCTTCCTACTTTTGTAATGTAAATGCCCACTTAGGTATACGGTTGTACATTGTTTGAGTTTCTATTAATATATTTGATTGACGTTGGAAAAAAAAAAAGCTATGTTTTGGTACATTCACTTGATTGCGTAGTAAAGTGAATGTTTTTGTGTAGTATATATGGTACATTGTGTTCATTATTGAATTATTGTTTATTGTTGTGAATGTGGAAAAAGCACATTTTGTTTTGGTAATTGACTTTATGAAACTTGTGTTGGATGTTTTTGTTCAGTTGATGCTGCAGTTTTGGCAGCCTTAAAGTTAATCTTGGTTTGTTTTTCTGTTAGTGTTGGTTTGCAGGTCTCAGTTAGTGTTGGTTTTTTGTCTGTTATATTGCAACATTTTGAAAAAAAAAAACATAGACAAATCATAGTTCAAAATCAATAGAACAAAAACAAATACAAAAACAAACACAAGTCCAAAGATCCCATAAATCAATACAAACAGTGAAACTATATTTTTCCATAAACATTGCCATCATCATTGTTCCATCAACATTGCCATCATCAACACAAGTTCTGAATCCTAAGAAACATTGTCACCATCATACTTAACAAAACTACATAACAAACTAAAGAACAAGACAAAGTGACCAATTTCATTGCATGAAATTTGTTCTGGTTTCAACTGAAGTAGCAGTGAAGGACCTGGAAAATAACAAAAGATAATGCCATATAAATGCAGGCTCTCTTCATCATTCCAATGTTCTGCTTCAATTTTGCATTTTCAGCTTCCATGGCATTCACCCTACGTAGTAGTCCTGGAATTATAGCCCTTGACCGACGACAAATTGGAGGATCCTCCCAATTAAAAAAATTGGCAACCACCTATCTAAGAAGAAGAAAAGAAGAAAAAAGAGAACAATTTGAATGAAGAACCTCAATTTCGAACTCAATAACCATAATTTGACACTCAAGAACCCTAATTTAGGACTCAAGAACCCCAATTTGGGACTCAAGAACCATAATTTCGGACCTCGATAAAAAATATGACAATTTGAGACTCAAAAACTCTAATTAAATATGACAATTTTACCTTCCATTGAAGACAAGAATGAAATCTTCCTCTAGGATTGTCGTCGGTCCATGATGTGCGAAACACAGCTCTCTTCCCACAGTAGCAATCGACGACTCTCGTGGTATACGATATTTTTTAGGTTTTCTTCTTAGATTTGCAAGAATGGCAGGAGGAATGGCTCCTCGTCAATTTGTAACGATTTCATCCCTAAATTTCTTATTACAATTTGTTTTTTTATTATTCTTAAATCCATCGTGTCATTACACATGGATATAGGAAAAGATTTTTTTTTTGTTTGTAATCCACGAGGCGAAGTATCTATGGACAACGTATGCCACATCACCGTCGGTGTTTAATATGTAGGGCCAAATGGAAGCCACGTCAGATTTACCGGCAAAAAATGTCACCGGAAGCTCATTTTGGATGTATATTGCTAAAAAAAAATAGTGTACCAATTGTAAAAAGAAAATTCTTAAAGGACGAAAGTGCAACTCACCAAAAGTTAGTGGACTATGGGGCAATTTTCCCTTGTTCGCCACAGTATTGTCTATGTGTTGTTGGAATTGATAATTGATCGTTTACATTCACTCTCTTGTTACGAAGAGTTATTGAGAGTGAACATTTGTTCGAGAAACGATTCAAGTTCTTTAACCGAGCAATTGATTGCCTGGTGATTGTGTTAGTGTTGGGTTTTGCTCTTTGTCCCACATCGATTGTGGAATGAAAGAGAGGGAAATTTTTCTCCTATATAAGAAGGTGCTACTTCTTATGTAAAATCATCCCACAGAGTTATTGTGTTAACAATTAATCTCTGGTTAAAAATCCCTTAGGGTGAGAGTTAAGGTTAACGGGTAGAAAATTCTGTGGGGTAATTTTGGGTATAAGTGAGTGTAGAAAAATTATGTGATTGTAATTTTTTACATAGTGGGTTTTCTACGGCCTTGTTGCCCTGGTGGTTTTTCCCTCTTCGTTAACAGAGGGTTTTCCACGTTAAACTTTGTGTTCTCCAGTTTTATTATTTTCAGTAGATCTTGGGCGGAGTTTCGGTGTGGTCGGAATTCCCAACAAGTGGTATCAGAGCGAGGTTAGCCTAGTTGGTATTCTGAGTATGCTTTGTGGTTGCAGTTTTGTCTGATCTTCCACATCAGAAAAGATACCAAAGAGGTGTCTTCGTGCGGTGGAGCCAGTGACGGGTGGAGCTTGTGTGCAGAGGAGTTTTTTGG